CCTAGCAAACCATTATACAGATATAATCCTATGATCTTGAACATCAAGAATTTATACTTAGCATATAAGCCATATGATGTCAAAATGGCAATCTGAAAAAATATCACTGTTTATCACTAAGTATCATTGTTAAAAATGGGCCTTTAATAGAAAAATTTAATTCATATGTGCAAATGTTGTTGTTATTATTATGTTTAAAGACAGGGTCTCACTCTGTTGCCCAGGCTGGGATGTGGTGGTACAATCATGGCTCACTGCAGCCTCAAACTTCTAGGCTCAGGTGATCCTCTCACCTCAGACCCTCCAGTTGCTGGGACTACAGGCATACCCCATCACGCCCAGCTAATTGGAAAAAAAAATTTTAGGGGGGGGACAAGGCCTCACATTGTTGTTCAGGCTGGTCTTGAACTCTTGGCTTCAAGCGATCCTCCAATTTCTGCCTCCCAAAGTGCTGGAATTATAGGTGTAAGCCAACTCTGCCCAGCCCCAGTGAAGATATCTAAATCATTCTTTAAAAGTGTTAAAAGAAAATTCAAAAATTTAAAGTCCATAATAGCACAGCTGAACTAAGCATGCTGCTCCTTAGCCCCTGGCAATTCTGAGACTTATTTAGGAGATGTTGTTTACGCTCAGTTTAAGAAAACAGACACTTACATTCAATAAAATACAAAACCTACCAAAAGGTAAACAGAGAAAGGTACCGGAAAAAGAATCCCCATGTGGAAAGGGACAAACCAAAAGTAAAGGAGCCTTTGGGTTCTCCCCTGTGGGGATCATTCACTTCCAACTCTCAATTTGTTTACACAGGTTGGGGGAAACTTCCTTCTTTAGGACATCACACAACTTCTCTAAATTTCTAGCATGGGCTCAGGGTGGGGCAGCATGTATCAAGAATAAACAAACTGTAAGGGGATCCTAAGAGAATAAAGAAAAGGTGGCTGGGCACGGTGGTTCACACCTGTAATCCCAGCACTTTGGGAGGCCGAGGCGGGTGGATCACAAGGTCAAGAGATCGAGACCATCCTGACCAACAAGGTGAAACCC